TGGTAATGAGGAAAGGCATAATTCCTGTGGTTTGACAATAACGTGACAGGAATAGCTCCAACTGCTTTGAATAGATTATTGTCCCCCTCCATTGAAGTTCCAGACTGTGGAATCCTACTAAACAAATGCGACCAGCCCTCAGCCAGCCAGGTGCTGTGCTTATGGATACAAGTGGTCATCATTTTGCTTGGTTCTCTGAGGGATTTCAAAATTTGAGCAACCATTTCAGCCCCCAACAATCATACGGTTGAATGGAAAGAGAAGGCAAACAGAGGAAGGGGAAGGATTTAGCAATAAGAAGTATTTCTCTGGAGATTCAACATCTAAGCCACAAAATCCTAGCAAAAGATAGATTTTAAAATGCTATCTATCCAGGTTGGGTGTGGTGGCTCACACCTGTAATCCCAGCAGTTTGGGAGGTGGAGGCAGGGGGATCACTTGAGGCCATGAACTTGAGATCAGCCTGAACAACATAACAAAACTCTGTCTCTACTAAAAAAAAAAAAAAAAAAAAAACTTAAATTAGCCAAGCCTGGTGGCACATGCCTGTAGTCCTAGCTACTCAGGAGGCTGAGGTGGGAGGATCACTTGAGCCCAGGAGTTTGAGGCTATAGTGCAGCTATCATAGAGCCACTGCACTCCAGCCTGGGCAAGACCCTGCCCAGAAAAAACAACAACAACAACAACAACAACAAAATGCTATTCATGCAGTCCATTTTTAGATCTTTGGGCATTCCTCAGAAAGTATTCTCAAAAAATAACAGGCAAGAGTTATCATGCCCAATCTTTCTGTGCTAATAGAATATTTGATTGCAAGGTGAAGAATCAATCAGTTCCTTCAAACTTCACTCACCATTGAACTTTTGGAGGGATTTGAATTAATCATTCTAGATGTATTTGGAAACATGGTCACTGTAAAGCAAAGAATAGGTATTAAACCTCATTTAGAAATCCAAAGCCCTTAGACTCATCATGTACCCTAAAAATGGAAAAGAATAATTTTAGTATTTTCCACTTGGAGTCAGATGAAAAATGCATCTCGTAACTAATGGAGGGCACAGAAGGGCAGGGACTACATCTTCTTATTTACAACCATGTCTCTGTGGCAAATGAAATACCTGGCATGAACTGGTGGAGTGAACTAATGATCCAGTACTCTGGCTTCATAATATGGAGTTGGCTATAAGTATTGATTCAAATCAGCACAACTGGCCGGGCGCGGTGGCTCAAGCCTGTAATCCTAGCACTTTGGGAGGCCGAGGTGAGTGGATTGCCTGAGCTCAGGAGTTTGAGACCAGCCTGGGCAACATGGTGAAACCCTGTCTCTACTAAAATACAAAAAAAAAAAAAAAAAATTAGCCCTGCATGGCAGCGTGCGCCTGTAGTCCCAGCTACTCGGGAGGCTGAGGCAGGAGAATTGCTTGAACCTGGGAGGCAGAGGTTGCAATGAGCCGAGATCGTGCCACTGTACTCCAGCCTGGCAACAGAGTGAGACTCCGTCTCAGGAAAAAAAAAAAAAAAAAATCAGCACAACCAAGGTCAGTGGCAAATTACTGTTCAAAGCTCTTTAAATATATTTTTAAAAACATATTTAAAATTGTGATGTCTAACATGACATTCACATGTTCAAAGGGACCCCAAAACCAGCATGTTAAATGAAGTCTTGACTGGGCGTGGTGGCTCACACCTGTAATCCCAGCTCTTTGGGAGGCCAAGGCAGGTGGATTGCTTGAGCTCGGGAGTTTGAGACAAGCCTGGGCAACATGGCAGAAAAAAAAAAAAAGAAAATTGGCTGGGCATGGTGGCGCATGCCTGTGGTCCCAGATACTCGGAAGGTTGAGGTAGGAAGATCTTGAGCCTGAGAGGCGGAGGTTGCAGTGAGCTGAGATTGCGCCACTGCCCTCCTGCCTGGGTGACAGAGTGAGACCCCATCTCAAAAAATAAATAAATAAATAAATAAATAAAGTGAAGTCTCCATCAAGTAAGGGGAGAAGTGTATATTAAAGCCCTAATATGTGTCTAATACTATGCAAGGCACTTTGGGGCACAGAAGGAAGAGTACATGGTGTATGCACACAATGAATGTAGCATGCACCAGCCCTGCCTACAAAAGTTTCAGAAGCCAGGAGCAAAGATGGTACTAGCATGACAATGTGATTAGAGAAATAAAATGCTATGCAAGTGTCCAAGGAAAATATAAACTAGGTAAATACAGGTCTTAGAAACATATTTTCTTCCTAGCTTGCTTTGTTGTACATCTCTGCCTTACATTTGTAATTTCACCCCTTCTCATTACATACAGAGAAAACCTAGTTGAGTCCCAAATTGGTGTGTTTGATTCTCTTAGATTGCAGTGTAAGCCACTCTTGAAAGCGTAATCTAAAAGAAAGAATTTGGGGAGTGTGGAGTGGGGAGGGTATTTTTTCTTATTTTCTTGCTAGGCTAGTGAAGGCTACTAGGGTAAATGAAGCATTGAGTGCTTTCAACGTTCTTAAACAATGTTTTAAGTTTACATTCTTGAACAAAGAAAGACTCAAGATTTTTTATTTTGACTTTTTGTCTGTAATGTTGTCTCTAAAATGCACTGTTCTTTCTAGTAAGCACAAAATTGACCCCATATGTTTAGAAAAAAATGCAAAAATATTTTCTTTTTGTCTCTTGAGGAATTAGATGCTTCTTTAGGGGGAAAATAAACAGACCTTCCTTGTGCATTTAAAAGAGACAATACCTCATTCTGACTATAATGGGTCTCTTACACAGCCGAGAAACTCAAGGTTTGTTAAGATTTTGAATCCCCCCTCCCCCCCATACACACTCAATCTTTGCATACACAGCCCAAAAGCTGTGTTGTTCTCCCAAAAGAAATAAAAATAGCTTTAAAATTCCAACCACTGGAAGGCTGGAAATGTGGCTGTGAAGGTTGACAAATTTGCGAGATTTCAAAATGAAGCCAGCTCAATCTCAAAGGTCCTTTAGTTACTCTCTTTTTATTTCCTTTATTTTTGCTTTGTCTTGATCAATTCAAAATTTGCAGAAATCCCAGACTAAACTGCGTGACCTTCAGGGCTTACTTAAGCTACCTTGGCCTGTTTTCTCCTGTGGGGAAGAGAAACAGTCATAGGGTCTCCTTCAATCCCAACATTCTCTCATTCTAAGGGTAAACCTAATGTCCCCTTTGTATCTGTGAAAAATACTGTCGACTCCCAAGTCCTACGTAGCAGGAACATATATCCCCACACTGATTCATAAATACCCCCAGCCCTTCTGGGAAGAATCTCTCTTGGGAAAAACAAAGAATCCTCCGTCAAAATTTAGAAAATAAATAAATGGAGTCTCTCCCATCCCCAGGTGCAGCAGTTAAGTGTATAGAGTGTGATATGGGCAGAAGAAGCTTCTGAATTTCCCCATTCCACACGTCAAGCAGCCTGAATTCAACCTTTACCAGACTTTTTATTTCATTTTTATTTTTTGCTATGTTTTAGCTTTGTCCCTTTAGGAGAGAAAGGCCTTCTATTCCATGAATCATCCCTTTTCGTAAATGTTCCTTCTTCAACAGGAACTCTGGAGCTGTGTTAATTTCTTAAAATCTTCTTTCGTCTTTGCATTGTTTGAAAAAGGCACACAGCAAAAACCTACGTGGGAATGGTTTCTCTTTGTGCCTTGGGCATTTGCACTGTGCCCACACCCTTCCTTATAGGCAAGAAAAGAAAACTGCAGGGCTCCAGGCCCGTCTCCATCTTGAGATGGCTCCAGAGCCTTTGTGCTTACTCCTCTCTTCACCCAGCTGAGCGGGCTGTGGCACTTCAGGTTTTGCAGCAGCCTCTGCAGCAGCGGGTACGCACCCCTTCCCTTGCAACGCAGAGCAAGGCTTCTAGCCTGATGGTCTACTTGATTGTCTAAACCACAGGTAAATGGTTTCCTGTGCATTTCTCAAAATAAGTGTTGAGCAAAGGAAATGAAAGCAACCAGTTTAATAGTGATCAACAATTTTCCCTACCCCTCCGCTTCAAAGAGGGTATTTTCGTAAGTCGGTTTTGAGAGAAAAATGTTTAACTTCTTGGACATTTGCATTGTAAAATTTAGCTTTGCAGAGCATTCAGTCAACTAAAAGCCTTCTTAAATGCTGTTTCGGCTTAATAAAATTGGTGCTTATTTAAAAAAAATTCTCCACCCTTCCCTACAGAACCGAGGAATCCATTAAGGACCTTATAGAATGGCAAATCTTTTTTAACTCTTAAAAATTGATGTTGTTCCCGTCTTTCCGCACCAAGGACTTTGCTTTTACCCATCAGCGAAAATAACTTCCGATGATTGAGAAGTTATCAAGGACTTAAAGACCTAAATGTGAGTCAATTAATTCCTGCTGGATTTAAACTTAGTACAAATCTCACCTGTGTCCTGCTAGTGTCCTTTAAACCCAAAAGATCGAATAAGTATCTTTTAAATCCAAAGATTATTCAAACTAAGAGGACTCAATAAATTTAAAATCATGTTCACTAATGGTTAACTGTATTCATTAAAGCAATTGTAAATATTGAACTCTAATATAGAAACCGGCCATTAGAAAATGAGTAAGCAAAAGTCCTAAATTCCTTAACGCAGCTGCTAAAAATGTAATTTTTACTCGTCTGTTAATACTAGCACTTGGTTAAATAACCAAGTTCAATTTGATGCCTGAAATAAGATACTGTGCTGTAAATTATCACCTTCATTTTCTTGAGCACGTGCAATAAATGCAATGTCAGCTTATCAAAACCCATAAGAACTGCAAATATATTTTTATTAAAGTTCTCATACAACTCATACTAGGAATTCAATCAGCCTGAGAAAATGATCACCTAGTATAGACAAGGTATTTTGCATACCTGGGTGAAACCCATTTCTACACCATAAGGGAATTTATCCAGTCACCAGATGCTTGTCCCTCCCCAGTGGACCAAGAGGTAGGCCTCTTTGCAAAGGTTTCATCCGCGATCCTTCCAGAGACCAGACACACCAGCTAAGTTTTTAAACTTTTTATTTGCATATTAAAAAAATTGTGCATTCCGATAATTAAAATCATTTGAACAAAAAAAAAAAATGGCACTCTGATTAAACTGCATTACAGCCTGCAGGACACCTTGGGCCAGCTTGGTTTTACTCTAGATTTCACTGTCGTCCCACCCCCACTTCTTCCACCCCACTTCTTCCTTCACCAACATGCAAGTTCTTTCCTTCCCTGCCAGCCAGATAGACAGATGGGAGAGGCAGGCGCGGCCTTCGTTGTCAGTAGTTCTTTGATGTGAAAGGGGCAGCACAGTCATTTAAACTTGATCCAACCTCTTTGCATCTTACAAAGTTAAACAGCTAAAAGAAGTAAAATAAGAAGGCAATGCTTGTGGAATGTACAGTGCATATTGGCGGCGCACGCCTCATTACGATTCGCCTGCTTGCTTCTCCTGTTCAATCGCTGTGACCAGAAAAAGAAAAAAAAAGATGGAGGGAGATGATTAAAGGATTCAGTACAGACTGAATAAAGGGCTTTCATTTAAAGCATCTTTTCAAATCAAACATTCTGCAAGGTATTCCATAATGGAATAAAATATGTATATTGAATATACTAAATAGAAGTACATTTTAACGGACAAATGTGTTTTTATATTAATATGGCATAATAAATATTCCATAACTAAATTACTAAAGCCCTGTGTTTGTTGGCTGCAAAACCATTTTTAATTAACCTTTGCAAGCCACATTCATCAGCTGTCGGCTCTTCCCCCGCACTCCCCCCTCCCGAATTCTTCCCGCGGCCCCTCCCAGCCTCCTGCCCTCCCACCAGCCGCTCCCACCCAGCCTTTCTAAAGATGGGGGTGGGTCGGAGCTTACTTTCTTTGGAAGGCAGTGGATTTTTCTCTTGCGTCTCTGTCTTCTTCAGTTTCGACTTATCGAATTTCTCGATCTCAGCCATATCGGGTTTGTCAGACATGGTCGCGGAGGAAAAGCTGCAGGGAGCAAGCCAAGAGCGAGCGTGAGGAAGAGCCACCCACCCCAGTGTCTCTGGGCTGGGAACTGCGCTTCTGCCCTGCGACCCGCAGCCTGAAAACCCTTCTCGCCCTCCTTCCGCTGCCGTTCCACACTCACGAGCTTCCTCTTTCTACAGAAAAAGGGGCGACACTCCCCGCGCCCCTCCTCCCCATATTTCAAAACGCTGGGGACCAAAGAGGGCGGATGCCTCTCAAAGCCGAATCTTGCAGAATAAAGGAAATTGACCAATGCGAATTGTTCATTACAGCGTTTAAAATTAAAGGCTGGCTAGGACAAGGAAATAGGAAAGCCACTTCCGAATTCAAGTGGGAAAAATCGGCAAGAATTCTTAAAATGGAACCCAGGCAGCAAAAGCGTTTCCTTTTTCTAGCCGCGGCCTCTCCGCAAAGGATGCGGGCCGGATCTGGCTTTCTCGTCCTCTCACAAAGGCGGCGGCCGCGGCTGGAGCTTCCGACCACCGCCCTACCCGCTTCCTCGCCCGCGCCACAATGCAGCCCCGCACACAAAGCGACTGCCGCGCGCCCCGAAGCCGGTTTTGCCTGCTCTCCCGGCAATTCGGCATCCCTGGCACACATGTCTCTGCAAGAAGGGCTGTGAAAATGTCATGGCACAGCCCCACCGCCGCCAGGCTGCACAGATACAGCCCGCGCAGCCGTCCGAGACTGGGAGGAGGCTCGGGGCTCCGGAGATGACCCTCAGAACAAAGGACCTGTCTGTTCTCCCCCATCTCAGCCTCCCAGGCAACGCACAATACCTTTGCGGGCAAACACTAAGAAATTTTTTAAGGTCCCCTCCGAGCAGCACGGCAAAACGCCAGTTTTTCGGTTTTGTTCTTAAATCCTCGATTTTCCCACCCCATTACCCAGCATCTAGGGTGTTTCGCACCCCCCCAGCTCCCCAAAGCAGCCTGCCCCGGGAGAACCACTCCGGCTCGGCTTTAGGAAATGCCTTCACAGGGAAGCGGATGATGAAAGGGCGAGCACCGTGGGAAGGGGACTGAGGCAGGAAGGCAGGAGGAGGAAGGAGGAAGGGGCCCTGGGGCTCACCGGAGCGAGGCGCACGAAAACGAGCGAAGTCTGGTCTGCGCAGTGGCCACCACCGAGTTGTCGGGCGGGGTGCGGCGGGCGCCGCTTTATGGGCGCTCCTATGTAAATGAGGTGATGTCACCCGCCGGCCCGCTTAACTCCTTCGCGCCGCGTCTCGGAACGGCATCCGGAGGCCTGCCAGGCTTTTGGGGAGCCCCACCCCCAACCCGGGGTCCACTAGTGCACCCTAACCACAACATGGCGAAAAAAATACATGAGCAAAGCACGCTCCAATACTTCCTTCATAACACATTTTCCCCTTTTACGTTTATTTCATTACGATGAATTTTTGCAACAGCAGCGCAAAAATTGCTCTTGGGGACCAGTGCATAATAACTAAGGGTCGGGGTGGCACCTAGGGTGACAGGCATTCTTTTATTGCGAAACTGCCTTTGTCTACTGTGGACATCTCCACACAAGGGCGCGGTGTCTCTCGCTGGAGAGGCTGGCCGGCTGCAGGGGTACGATTCCTGTGACTCAGCTTTCAGACCAGTGGAGGGCATGCGCCCCACCCCGGGCCTCTTTGTCTTCCTCGCTGACGTTCCTCTTGCCTTGGGTGGGACGTAAAGCACCCTTAAGTGATTTTAAAAGAGAAAGTTTCATCACTGTAACATCCATATTGTTTCATCAGCATAATTTTTGTGAGCACTCAACAGTAATATTTGCTGGGTGTAGGGTAATTTGTCTGGAGTTTATAGGGTAAAACACCTCCCTCTTAGCAAAATAAGTCAAGCTCAAGCTCTGCCATTGACTTTACTGCCTGGCAATGAGGAAGTTCTTTACCTTCCTCTTCCTTATTTTCATAAATTATAAAAGTGATGGCTAAGGAGGCCTGCGTTGAATTCCGAAGACGACAGTTACATGATCTCTAACATCTTAAGGTGAAATTCAAAAATCAAATTATATTTTCAAGGGAGCGTTTCCAGCACTAGAACATCTCTGAAGTGCATCTGCATCTGGAAATATAAGAAATTCGGGTAGAGGGAAGCAGTTTTCAAAATGGCACCTGACTCTGTGAATACCAGTGACCCACTTGCTACTGAAAATTAGTTACAAATACCATGGCACGCGCCTGCAAATGGCGTGTGAAAGGAAAAAGACTCCCCGGTTATAAAGAGGCCTAGCTGTGATTATTTCTAAGAAACAAGGCAGTGTGCAAAATATTCCTTCTCCTTTTCCGTGGCCTGGGGAAATGTTTCTAGAAACCCCTTGCTAATCATTTTTATGGCACAGGCTTTTGTCTCACTGGGGATTAGAGTCAACCTTATATATAGACCCTTGAATGCCACTGCCAGCAGCTCGGACTTCCCCGTTTCTTCATCTACTTGACTTCCTTTTTCCTGGGGAGGAAGGAGGTGGGGGTGAGCAGGGGCAGGTGACCGTCTGGTTCCCTAGTTAATGCTCTGCTGGGTGGCTGCCTTCCTGGCCTCCAAATGGGGCACTGGACCTGTTCGTGCATGCACCGAATGTCACCTGTCTGGTATCAGTCCCCCGCCTCTGTTCCATGTTGGGAGTCCACTTCATCGTTGAAACACAGAAAAGATCTTGCAGGGTGCCTTTAGCTGGCAGCTGCTGTTGTACCGACACCGTTTCCGCAGGTTCTGTGATTCCATTTCCCCTCGCCCAGCTGCTGTCGAAAATCATTTCTTTCCTCCCAATGTCTCCTGATGACAAAGGAGTGCCACTACCTTCTCCTGGCTTCTTCTCCCAAGGGCCTTTCCTCAGAAAGAGTTAGGCCTCACTGAAGCAATTCTCCAAAGGAGATAGACGAATGCAAACTTGGAAATGTCTGGAGAAGTTTTCCAGTGCAGTAGCAAGCAGCCTTCCACTGTGCTGGGACACTGATAGAGGCCAGGTGGGAACAGAGAGGAAGAGAAAGAGATGACTGCTTAAAGGAAAAGAGTTCCCATGATTGGGATTGACCTGCAAACGGGTCAGGAGACAGAGAGAGACACGAAAGGGAAGGGTGGTGCAGATACAAGGAAATGCAAACCAAAGGAATATTCTTAAAAGTTGCATGACTGGCCATGTGAATGAATCTTTCTGTGCTGGAGTTTTCTCATCTGTAAAATGGGTTCATTGCAACACGGACCTCACAGGGTTGTTGGGAGGATTAAATGCTTCAGACAGTGCATGACAATTAGTAAGCTCTTTCTATTGTTATTATTCATATTATTTAGGATGGAAGGTTGAGGAAAAATAATAAAATAATTGTCTGTGTTTAGAATTAAAATTTTTAGGTGTCTTGATATTATTTCTCCTATACATTTATATATTATTATATATTATTTCTATATAATTAATATATATGAATATATATTATTATTTTCGCTTACAAAATGTTGATAGAAGATCTTTTGGTAGTTCTACAGCAAATACAAAATGATGACTCCTGTCAGTTGATACTTTCTAAGAGTCAGGCATTGTAACAGAAGTTTTATATTTGTTTTTTCCTTTCTTCCCCACCGCCTTTCCATAAGAAGTTTCCAGATGGGGAAACTGAGGCTTAGAAAGCCATCATTGGGTTACATCAGCTGGTAGCCACTCTGTTGTATATGCCAAGAGCATACAAAAGTCCTCCCCGCATCCTCTTAGTCTGTACCCGAGAATCACCAGGAAGAGTGTGAGGAGCTAAGCTGTTGTGCTTTCCACAGTGTCTGGTGGATAGTAGTTGCTCAATAACAGTTCTCCCACTGCACTGAATTGATTTTCTTTTCTTTTCTTTTTTTGAGACAGAGTCTCCCTCAGTCACCCAGGCTGGAGTGCAGTGGTGCGATCTCGGCTCACTGCAACCTCCACCTCCCGGATTCAAGCCATTCTCTGCCTCAGCCTTCCATGAATTGATTTTCTTACATGAGGGAGGTACTTGAACTCAGGTGTTGAACCTGTGACTCCAATTGCCTCGCTTTCTTCTCCTCAGATAATTAAATCCATTTAGTCTTGATGTTCTAGATGTCAGAATGTTCCAGGATCATTCCTGCCCCAGGCAGTTACATTTATAAGTCTGTTAGTATGTGCCGGGCACAACTACCATTGAGGTAGGAGTTTTCGATACCAATTAAAAAGACAGAGGCATACAGGGGCAAAGGAACTGCCTACAACAGGTGCAGATGTTGTTCCCAGTGAGACCCACCCGTTCCCCCCCCCAAAAAAAGGCCTTGGGTGACTCCGGGTTGTATGGTGCACTCTGGCCCTGGGGCTCTCTGGTGAAAGATAAGTAGAATCCACTTTGCCCCTGTCCTGTCTTCCTCATCTCACAGGCCACAGCGCCCCATGAAAAATGTGCCAACATTGCCTACATTGAAAGGTGGTTCCCCTCCAACCCTGTGCCCGGTGGAACCCGGAAAAGGTGTCAGGGGATGCAGTTTTATTTTGCTTTCCAGGGCGGTCCTATGATAGAGTCGTAGCTATTTCTAACCGTGGAGAAGTTGGCTAGAAGTCTGAATTCATGAAAATGAGTTATATTAGTTTGAACCTATTTAATTTTGTGCCAAGAACTTACCAGAAGAAGAGAAGAAGGAAGAGGAGGGAGGAACAGAAGAACACGAACAAAGCTGAGCTCCCAATTCTTGCTTTCTCAAGCCCAGATCCCTTTGTCTGAGTTTCAGGGCCTCCTATCATCTGCCCCACCTGCCTGCACCCCACGTTCCCCTGTGGCCCCTGCAGTCTCCATCTCGTCTCCCTCACAGCGGAGCCCTCCTTCCACTGATTGGAATCTAAATCCCCTTAAAGACACAGCCTAAGTACCCCCGTGAATAACAGGAAAAGGAAAAGAGAAAGGATATTTAGTAGAGTAGCTATATCTTGTACCCTCAGTTATAAGCCCTTTTAAACAATATCTGACTTCATTCTCACCCTATGGAGTGAGTAGTAATATCCCCATTTTACTACTAAAGAAATTGAGGCTCCCAGAATTTAAGCAATTTGCTCTTAATCAAAAGCCCAGGTCTGTCTACCAAGTCTTTCCACTGAGGCCTATCTCTGCCTTATCTTTAGTTGAAGTATATTTCTCCAGGACTCCCACCCAGAACGGCCCCACATGGTGCAAAGAGAAGGGCGAGCAGGGGGTAGCAGGAAAGCAAAGAGGAGTGAAAGAACACCCTCGCCTGTGCTCAGTGCAGAGTGCTGTGCTGCTAATTGTCCTGTTTGCTTTATTGATCCAATGGAAACTTTACAGCCAAAAGAAATGTAAAAGGGGATCTCATTCAACCCAGTTTCCCTTCTGTGGCTTGAATTTTCCTCTACAACATCCCCTCCAAGTGGTTACTCAGCCTCTACACAGCCAGGGAACAATACAGAAGCAAAGAAGCTTCAAGTTAACCCAGGGGGCAATGAGTAGCTTAGCTTGGCAGGCACTTGCGTAAAATGAGAGAAAGTGACAGGAAATAACGCTGGGAGCCAGGCAGGGGCCAGGTTGTAGAATAATGATAGTAACAATCATGGCTGTAACCATAGCAGTAATAACAGCAAGTGCTTTCTGAGTGCTTTCCATATACTGGGGAGCTTTCCATGTAGTATTTCTTGAATCCTCACACAATCCTATGACAGTGGCACCGTTATTTTCCTCATTTTGCAGATGAGGGAATCCTAGAGGGATTAAATAACTTCCCCAAGAAAACACAACGCAAGCCAAAGATAGGATTTGAACTCAGACTGGCTGGCTCAGAAGCCGCCTCATTTAAACACTACTCTTCTCTAGAATCCTAAGGCCTTTTAAAGACTTTTTTCCATATGCCAGATAAGGGTAAAGTTATATTCTGTCTTAATCAACTGTCTAGCTTTTTCATCATGTAGACGTTTTTTCTCTTTTTCTTTTTCTTTTTTTTTTTTTAAGAAACAGGTTCTCTCTATGTTGCCCAGGCTGGTCTCAAGTTCCTGGGCTCAAGCAATCCTTCCACCTCGGCCTCCCAAAGTGCTGGGATTACAGGCGCGAGCCACTGCACCCAGCCTACATCATGAAGACATTTAAACACAGATATCGTAATAATGTTATATACGGTGAAATTTTCCCTGCCCCAATTTTCAAATTATTTCATTACAGAAATTCAATCTGCTCTTTTTCCTCCTCCTGCATGGCCAAGGCACTGGCAATAAAGATAATTTGTATCCTGAACCGTTGGTAGTTTTCCTCAGCTTTTCACTACTTCAATGTTTTTCTTTCTTTTTTTTTTTTTTTTTTTTTTTTTTTTTTTGAGACGGAGTCTTGCTCTGTCACCAGGCTGGAGTGCAGTGGCGCAGTCTCGGCTTACTGCAACCTCCGCTTCCCGGGTTCAAGCGATTCCCTTGCCTCAGCCTCCTGAGTAGCTGGGATTACAGGTGCGCACCACCACTCCTGGGTAATTTTTTTGTAATTTAGTAGAGACAGGGTTTCACCATGTTGGCCAGGATGGTCTTGATCTCCTGACCTCGTGATCCACCCGCCTCAGACTCCCAAAGTGCTGGGATTACAGGCGTGAGCTACCACGCCCAGCCTTACTTCAATATTTTTCTAAGAAGTCATTCATATTACAATGGCTAAAAAAATTTAGTAGGTTCAATAGCATATTGAAAGGGGAGGCATTACACACTCCCAATGGCTTTCTGTGTTAAAAATGACAAACCTTTGATTCCATTGTGAAGCAGAATTAGCCTTAGCAAATAACAAGTGTTTGTATATTTTAATGTGTTTTTTTCTGTGGGTGTCAAAGTTTTATATAAAATATAGTTCCCAGATCATCAGCAGAAGGTGGTTAATAGCTTTATGGTGAGGAAAATGGAGTGTAGGTAATGGAGCACTGGCTCAGATCTGAGGGGAAAACTCACTTAGGCCAAGATCCACTTACTTGGCTGACCCTGACGATTTGGCCTCTCCAGGACTGGCTTCACAGGAGCACAGCTGTGCAGCTGCACTGGGCCTCACGCTCAGAAGTCCCTGGTGCTTGGCTTAATGTACTGCTCCTGCCATTTTGAAATTCTTACCCCACATTTCCATTTTGTACTGTGTCCCCCAAGTCCTGAGGCCAGTCCTGCCCTTTTTAGATTCTCATTCTCTGAGTGCCTCTAGTGCCACTGTCTTTTCCTAGACCCTTACACACGTGGCTCTTTCTGTGCCTATAATGCCCTCTCAGGTCATGCCCACTAATAATACTTCTCAGGTGTGGAAACTCCCTGTTCTTCTTGAGTTGAGAAAGTGGTGGCAATTTAGAAAAAAAAAATAACTTTTTATTAGGAAACTAGAGGAAAACCAATTTTAAACAGCAAAACAATGGGCTTCTTAACAATACTATAAAGCTTAATCA